GAGGAGGAGCAGGAGCAGGAGGAGGAGGAGGAGGAGGGGGGGTACGTATGGCGTAATGGTGAATCCCAGGTGCTAGCCTGGCCACCTCACCACAGTCAGTTTGGGAACTTCGTTATTGATGAGGGAGGAGAATGAGGAGGAGGACGACGACGACGACGACGACGGCGAGGAGGGAGGAGGAGGGAGCAGGAGGAGAAGGAGGTGGAGGGGGAGCCTCCCCATCCCCTCAACCTTTCCTTCCCCGCCCCCCCCCCCAGATCCACTGCGGCGTCCCGCACCCGGCAGAGCCGTGGTGCCTCCGGACCAAGCTCTACCACAGGCCAGCCAGGGCACCGGCAGAGCCAGCGCGGCCCGCCGGGCCGCGTGGCGGGCCCATCTCGGTTCTGCTCGGCCCGGCTCGATGTCGACCTCGCCTGGCTCGACCCAATTCGATTGGGGGCGGCGGTGGGTGAGCGGGAGGACAAGGAAGGAGGGTCAGGGAAGGAAGAGATACCAATACCGCTATGTAATTACCCGCTTCTCGTGGTGACGGCTGGATTTGCCTGGAAAGCTTAGTCAGAACTCACCCCAGGAGATGTTCGTGGAGCTGTGATATCAGTATCTGTGTCACCCGAGGAAGGGAATAATCAGGATGAGGAGCAGGAGAGTCAGAGGAAGGCGGATGAGGGGAAAGACAGGGGATGACAACGAGCAGCGATGAGGAAGGAGTCGGGTCCACAAGTATTCCGTTTTCGGCGCATTGCGTCTTGAATGGAAGCTGGCGGAAGTAAAGCGCAGGTGGGTCCGCTGGCAGAAAGGTTGGCGGATGGTCGGCGAGAGGCGTCGGAAGTATAATGGAATCGTCCATATTTCTGGGTTCAGGGTTTTCCAAATTGTGTATATCGGTTTCGCCCGACTCGATCCGATTCGGCTTCAATTTCCGATGACGCCATGCGGCCAGGCGATTGCACGGCGCAGTTGTGCGTCGTGGCGCGGCTTGGCTCGATCCGATTCTGCGCCGTGCCGGCGCAGCTCGATTCGATGCACTTTCCGATCACATCCGATTTAGCGATCCGATGCTGGCTGCTCCTGGAGAAGGAGGAGGAGGAGGAGGAGGACGACGACGATCGAGGCTCCTCCCACTGACAGCCAGCTTACTTACTCTATGCCGTCGCGGGCTCCCCAGCTTTCGCGAATTGGGTGTGCATCTCCTATTCCGCACTACTTGCTGCCATAATTCGTTGCCACTTATTTTGTACAAAGTCGTTTTTTTTTCTGCCCCTAGAACGCTACAGCTCAGTTGCTTGAGTTTGCCCAGCGTCAAAAAGGAGGACCGAGGGGGCAAGAGCGAGGTCCGAGGGTCGAGCCATGTGGAGTCCTTCGCCCCTCCGCCTGGGGAGCCTCCAGGGACCTCCAGGGACCTCCCTCAGACCTTCTGGGGCCTGCGGCGGCCTCCGCGGAGGCTTCCAGGGACCTCTCTGGGCCGTCCAGGGTATGAGGCATCCAAGGACTTTTGGGACCTCTTTGGGGCATCTTTGGACGTTTTCGGCCCTCCGTCGGGTAATTACAGCCAGAGCCTTGGGTAACGGTTCCCAGTTGGTGATAGGGCCACGGAGCCAAACAATAGGCCAGGCGGCCAGAACCACAAAACCAGGTCTGCCGTAGCCTGTCTTTTCTGGGTTACTGCAGTTCCTGTCAGTGCAGTGGGGCGGGGGAGGCCCGCTAATCCCACTCCCGCCAGTGCCCGAATCCGGGGCCTCCAGGGGCGGACCTCAGGGGGCCTCTTCAGACGCGCTCCGATCTGAGACCTCCGCGCGGACCTCCGACAGTTCGTGCGCATGCCATCTTCGGTTCTCCGAGATTTGATTCGTACGATCCGACATCCACCCGATTCGATCCAGTCCGGCCTCGATCCGATCGCCTGGCTCGATCCGATCCGATCCGACCTCGATATGATCCGAGCGCCTGGCCTGATCCGATCCGATCTGACCTCGATCTGACCCGATCCGATCGGATCGCCTGGCTCGATCCGATCCGACCTCGATCTTTCGACGATCCCGTTCGGCCTGGCGCCTGCACGGCGCAGCTGTGCGTCGCGGCGCGGCGCGTCGCCTGCCGGACCAGTTCCGCCCTGAGGGCGGTGTGCAGTGCCCGACTGGGAGCTGGTTGTGACGGCTTGGAGCGGAGGAGGAGGAGGAGGAGGAGGAGGAGGAGGAGGAGGAGGGGGAGGGAGGAGGAGGAGGAGGAGGAGGAGCAGGAGGAGGAGGAGGAGGCATCTCGCGGCAACCTTTTTCGTTCTCCCTGCTCACGCGCCGTCCGGTGCAAGGCACACTCGCCCGCTCACTCGCTCGGCGCGCCCGGTTCGGTTCGGTTTCGGCCCCAGCGGCTGCATGCAGCCATCCTCTGCCTTCTCCGCCTCTTCCCTCCTCCCTTCCTCCTCTCTCCCAGATCCCTCTCTCCTCCTCGTCCTCCTCCTCCTCCTCCTCCCCTCTTCCTCCTCCTCCTCCTCCTCCTCCTCCTCCTCCTCCTCCTCCTCCTCCTCCTCCTCTCCTCCTCCTCCTCCCCCTCCCCCTCCTCCTCCTCCTCCTCCTCCTCCTCCTCCCTCCCCCTCCTCCTCCTCCTCCTCCCCCTCCTCCTCCTCCTCCTCCTCCTCCTCCTCCTCCTCCTCCCCCTCCCCCTCCTCCTCCTCCTCCTCCTCCTCCTCCTCCTACTCCCACTCGTCTCGTTGTTCTCCTCCTCCCTCTCCCCTCCCCCTCCTGCTGCTCATCCTCTCCTCCTCCTCTCCTCCTCCTCCTCCTCCTCCTCCTCCTCCTCCTCCTCGTATTCCTCCTCCTCCTCCTCCTCCTCGTCTTCCTTCCCCTCCTCCTCCTCCCTTCTTCCTCTCCCTCCTCCTCCTGCTCCTCCTCCTTTTCCTCTTCCTCCTAGTCCTCCTCCCCCCTCCCTCGTCCTCCTCCTCCTCCTCCTCCTCCTCTTCCTCTTCCTTTTCTCTCCGCAGCTGGCTGCTTGGTTTAGTGGCATGATGCTCGTCGGGGTTCGTGTCCTCCTCCTTCTCTTCTTCTTCCTCCCCCTCCTCCTCCCTCCCTCCTCCTCCTTACTCCCCTCTCCCCCTCTCCTCCCTCCCTCCCTCCCTATTTCCCTCCCTCCCTTCTTCCCTCCCTCCCTCCGGCCCCCCGGCTAACGAAGACGGCCGTAGGGAGGGGTGCCGACGTGCTTCCACAATTCGGACCTTCAAGACCTTACGGCGCCAATTGCCACCATTCACTGTCTTTTTCGTCGGGGCCGTAAGCGGGATTTCTTATCCTGCGGGCTGATTGTGCCTGTCAACGTCAGTTCACCTCCGCATTAAAGCGCATTTGCCACCCCTCATTTTTCCAACGTGCCAAATCGGGTGACGGGTCGACCCGTGCCGCCACGGCGTCACATGTGCCGGCGTGGTGTCACTCATGCGGTCGCCCCCCCTCCCCAACCCTAGCCAGGTGATGGTTCGATCCGTGCGGCCGCGGCGTCACACGTGCCGCCGCGGTGTCTCTCATGCGGTGGCTCCCGCCCCCCACACTCCTTACCCGAGCACCTCAAGGACTGTAAACCGCAGGCTGGGGCACGTCAACACTGTCTTGCCCGTCCTTCCCCCCTCCTTTTCGCTCTCTTCCCCTCCCCCGTCCCTCTTCCTCTCCGCCTGGCCTCCGTGTCCTCTTTCTTCACTCCCTTCCCCTCCCCCGTCCTTCTTCTTATTGTCCGCCTGGTCCCCTTTTTCCTCTCTGCTCTCCCTTCCCCTTCAGGGGGATAGCGGGGGTGGCTGGGGTGGGCTTGCGCCGACAAGCTAGCCTCAATCTTCAGCTCGTTGAGCGGCCAGCTAGTATGAACCAAAGGGTGTAGCAAAAGCCCAATACCCCTTTAGAAGGGGAGCTCCCCATCGGACAAACATGCGTCTCTGTCTATACTGTCGGGTGAGAGTGTTTGGATTTTTCGTTGGTTTGGCTGCGCTGGCTAATCCTCGGCTTCGCTGGCCCTGGGGGGATATTTTCGGCGGAAAATAGGTCACCGAACCGTCTGTCTGGGGTCCACTACTTTGGATGTACCGGCCTATCCGTGCCTCGAGGCCGCCTCGCGACAATGTGTGAGCAGGGCTGCCCGACGAAGGTTGCCTAGCCAGACCTTTCGCTGGCGGAGTTTTTTGGGTTGGCCATTCTGTTGCGCCCAGGCGGGGGCAGACATATCTCGCCCTCCGCTGCAGCCTGCATGATGTGGGTTTTGTTGGCCCTCAGGGCGCTCGGTCGCGAGGTTTGGGCTTTTGTTTCGGGGGATGCCTCCCCCTCCTCGGGCATGCTCTCGGTGGGGTGCGGCTGTCCCTGGGGCCCTTGGTTTGCCCCTGATGGGGCACGCTTCGTCCGCCCCGATGGGCGCAACAAGCTGGCACCAAAGCGTGAGCGCGCGCACTCGTCATCCCCCTCCCCGAGGGATGCCGAGTGTGCAGATCCTGATGGGTTCGGTGTCGAAGCTGTGCGTGCCGTTTTTGGTTTTGCCCCCTCCTTTCAGGAACTCCCGCCCCAGGACCAGGACGCATCACGGGCGGCCGCCAGACGATCCTGGACATCGGCCTCCCCTCCCCCCCCTCTTCTGGCGAGGACCATCACAGGCCTCCGCCCTTCCGGCGGTGGCCATCATAGGCGCCACCCCTCGGCAGCTAAACCATCATAGGGGCTGCCAGGGTCCAGCTCCCGTCAGCACACCAGTCGATGTAGCCGTCATTGGCGCTGGTGGGGGCGAGGCCCTCCCTACGGCCCCTCGGCTCACGAGGACGGCCGCAGGGAGGGGTGCCAACGTGCTTCCACAACTCAGACCTCACTACCTTTAGGCGCCAATAGCCACCATCCAGATTCTCCCTCCCTCCCTCCCTCCCCCCCTCACTCCCTCTTCTTTTGTTTTGTTTGTTCCTTTTCCTCCTCCTCCCCGTCCTTGTGATCCTTCTCCTCCTCCTCCTCCTCCTCATCCGCGCCTTCCCGCCGCTCTCGCGCAACCAGGCCCGCCTCCGCGCTCTTCCGGCAAGAGCAGGTCGCCGAGGTGGCCGAGCCCACGCCGGGGGGGGGCCAGGGGCCTCCGCGGGCGCCCGTCACGTGGCTGGCCGTGCCGCGGCCCACGGCGCAGGCGTGCCGTCGTCGGTTGCCGTCGGTTGCCGTGGTCGTCGTCGTCGTCCGTCGTCGTCCGTCGTCGTCGGTTGCCGTCGTCGTCGTCATCGGCGTCGTGGTCGGCGTCGTCTTCGTCGTCGGTCGTCCGTCGTTGGTCGTCGGTCGTCGGTCACCGTCGTTGTCGTTGTTGTCGTCGACGTCGTCGTGGTCGTCGGTTGCCGTCGTCTGTCGTCGTTGTCGCCGCCGCCGCCGTCGTCGCCATCGTCGTCGTGGTCGTCGTCCGTCGTCGTCGTCGTCCGTCGTCGTCGTCGTCGTCGTCGTCGTCGTCGTCGTCGTCGTCGTCGGTGGCGTCGTCGTCGTCGTTTGTCGTCGTCGTCGTCTTGGTCGTCATCCGTCGTCGTGGTCCGTTGTGGTTGTCGTCGTCGTCGTGGTCGTCGTCCGTCGTCGTGGTCCGTCGTCGTCGCCGTCGTCGTCATCGTCGTCGTCGTCGACGGCATCGCCGTCGTCGTCGACGTCGTCGTTGTCGTCGTCGTCGTGGTCATCGTCGATGTCGTTGTCGTGGTCGTCGTCGTGGCCATTGTGGTCGTCGTGGTCGTTGTTGTTGATGTTGTTGTTGTTGTTGTTGTTGTTGTTGTTGTTGTTGTTGTTGGTGTTGGTGTTGTTGAACATTATTAATTCTAAAGAATAATTATTGTTGGGACCCCTGGTGCACGGCCCCCCTGCGCCGCCTAGGCCGCAGCTACATTTTCATCATTTTCGTGAGGAAGCCTCAGGTAATTCGATGTGATCAAGATCCGGTTGTTTTGTTCCCCCCCGCTTTCCCTTGCAAAAAACACTATAAAATGACATTTCTTGTTCTAATATAATCAAATTTCAAGAATCCCTTGCAAAAAATAAGGTAAAGTGGACATTCGCGCGCGCAAGACGAAATCCTTCCAAAAGCTTAGTGTTCGGAGCGATTTTAACATAAAAACATCAAAAAACCAATGGTTTTTCAACAAAAAAATGTCAAAATCTCATCCCGCGCGCTCTTGCGGATTCGTAGGAAAACCAACACTTTTTAAACATTTCTGTCAAACGGGCTTTTGCGAGCAACTTTTTCGAACTTCTGCGACAACGGTTGCGCACCTGCCAGGGCCATCATCCCTGTCAAATAATACCATGCGGGGCACATTCGTTTTTTGCGCGTGCACACTATCAAATGTAACAGAGTTGTGTATTCCCATCATCCCAGGAACTTGACCCAAAAATGTGACCAACTCCGCTCTCTCTGTCTCTCTCTCTGTCTGCTCTCTGTCTCTCTCTCTGTCTCTCTGTATTATGTATTGTATGGCACAATTGCACCATGCTGGGCACATGCGCGCCCCGAATAAGTGACCAAGTTCTGTGGGTGTGTACCCCACGCCAGTGTAGTAGCCACGGTCGTCCGCACGCCACGAAGTGAAGTGTCCCAACGTCATAGGGCGGGAAGCTGGGTTTGGGTGGTCGCGAAGAGTCGTTTGGATATTTGGTAGAGCTTGTAATGCCCCCCCACGAAGTGGGGGTATTGCCTGGTGTCGTATGAAAACCCTGGCACTGGGGAGAACACCACGCGTTCGGGTAAAATGATTGTTGTTGTTGTTGTTGTTGTTGTTGTTGTTGTTGTTGTTGTTGTTGTTGTTGTTGTTGTTGTTGTTGTTGTTGTTGTTGTTTATGTTGTTGTTTTTGCTGTTGTTGTTGTCGTTGTTGTTGTCGTTGTCGTTGTCGTCGTCGTCGTCGTCGTCGTTCGTGTCGTCGTCGTTCTCGTCGTTGTTTTCGTCGTCGTCCTCGTTGTTTTGGTCCTCGTCGTCCTCCTCGTGGTCGTCCTCGTCGTCGCAGTTTCTGGGGGATCCATATTTGAGGATCGATGTGCCCTGCCCCGGTCTCGCCTGGACGCGCGTGCGGGTTGTTTCTGCCACGCTGCGACGCAAACAAGTTTGTTGCTTTATGACACCCGTTTCTGAGCTGTGGAGGCCTCCATCGGACCTCTGGGGGCTTCTGGAGGCCTCTGGGGACCTGCGGTGGCCTCCTGGAGACCAGGGGCGGTCTTCGTCGTTGTCGTCGTCGTGGTGGTCGTCGTCGCGGTCGTCGTCGTCGTCGTCGACGTCGTCGTCGTCGACGTCGTCTTCGTCGTCGTCGTCTTCGTTCTTGGTTGTTTTTGCACGTTTTTGTTGTCCTTTTCAGGGCCTCTGCCTCTTGAGGCTTCGGGGGACCTCTGGGGGCCTTGGGGGCATACGGTGACCTCCTGGAGACAGACGGCGGTCGTCGTCGCTGCTACGTTTTCGGCACTTCTGGGGAGGATCGAGGGTTGAATGTTGCCTCTGGGGGCCTGCAAAGTGCAGTTCTTGGGACCTTCGGGGATCTCTGGAGACCTCTGGAGACCTCTGGAGACCTGTGGAGGCGGTCGTCTGCCTCGTCGTCGTCGTCCTCCTCCTCCTCTTTCAGCTTGGTCTTCGGGCCCCCTCATCGCCGCGGCGGCTCTGAGAGGTAATGGTGCCCAGGATGGGTCTAAAGGTTTGGTCTGAGCGAATGTTCCATGCGCGTCGTCGTCCTCCTCTGCCTCCTCGTAGTTGTCGTGTCCTCCTCCTCCTCCTCCTCCTCCTCCTCCGCCTCTGCCTCGTCGTCTTGGGCCTGGGGGCCCCCTCGTCGCCACGGCCGTGCGTGTCTCGGAGAAGGGAACAAGATTGTGGCGGGTCGTCGTCGTCGTGGTCGTCGTCGTCGTAGTCATCGTCGTCGTCGTCTTCGTCGTCGTGGTCGTCGTCGTCGTCGTCGTGGCCGCCGCCGCCGCCAGTATCGTCGCCGCCGCCGCCAGCACCACCGTTGTCGTCGTCGTAGACGCCGCCGCCGTCCGTCGTCGTCGTCGTCATTGTCGTCGTCGTCGTCGTCGTCGTGCTCCTCGTCGTGGTCCTCGTCATGGTCTAGGATCGAGGATCGAAGTTTTGCACGCTTTGGGGCCTTTCTGGCCCTCCCGGGGGCCCTCATCGGCGCGGCCGGGTTCGTCTCGAGATCCTGGCCAGGTGTAAAATCGCGCTTTGGAGAGGTCCAGAGGGTCGCGATCTTGACGTCCTCGGAGGCTTCGTCGTCGTCGCCCTGCGGGAAAGGTGCAGCTCATCGCTTCGGAGCACCACGCGCAGGTCGCCGCGGGCGCCAACTGCTTCCAGCCATCACGCTGAAATGATGTTTCACTGACTTTTGCTTCCCGGGCCAGCCCCTGGGTCTGCCAACTCGGCCTAATACAGTCGAGACGTTGAAATAAGTAACAGGTTGGGTTTGGAAGGGGTCGCTGTGCCCTGGGTCCTTCCATGGTTGCCCCTCCGGCGCTCCTCGTGCACCCAGGCGCTTTGGGGGCCAAAACTGGGCTAGGGTTCCTCTCTGGCGTTCCTTATGCTAGTACGTCAGGTTCGTGTCGTGCCGACGTTGGCGTTGGTTTCTGACACCGCGGGGATCGTTCAACCTTGAACGATAGGCCGTTTCCGAAACGTGCGATCGTTCAACACCGACCGATTTTGGGTCGCCGCCAGCCGACACGACGCGAACCCAGCGTAGCTTGACTGTGTTCACTACTGCCCTGCCCGCTCCGATCGGGCCCTTCGCTCCGCCTCGGGTTTTTTTATCCGCCCCGCTGCGGGCCCCGAGACCCTCGCAGATCGATCTGGGTCGAAGGACCATGAGTAAGGATGGGGTCAAGAGCTTTGGCGGACGCCCGCGAATCCATGATCTCTCTCCACCGATCCTGGCCAGACACGTTTGTCCTGGATCGCTTTTCGGAGATTTCTAGAGGTGCCCTGGAAGGTTTGGGGGCTCTGGATCCCTTCAGCAGCTCGAGCTTGATGCGAGCCCAACAAAGGGGCGGGGGGCACTTCTGCTCCGATCGGCCTTCTGTGGCCATGTTACGGCTGAGGGCCTGCCGACTACTCTAGGTTCGCGTCGCGTTGACACAGCTGGGACCCCAGCGCAGGCGTTCAGAGTTGAACGCCGACGGCGGCCAGAATCGGCCGACGTCGAGCAATCTGCGGTATCGGACAGCCGCGACCGCTCCAGGGCGAAGGATCCGCGCGGTGTTGGAAACCAACGCCCACGTCGTTACGACACGAACCTGCCGTACCCACAAACGCGTCGTTGCCTTGCACACGCCTTCCGCCCTGGCTGCACGAAGGTGGCCTTGGGGGCGGCCGGCAGGGATTTGTGCTGTTATCCGGCTTGGGTCAAGGATCTGTGGCCCGCAGGCAGGAGGACGCGCCGCCCGTGACGCCTGGTCTTCGCGTCCGTGCAAGAACCGTGCCAGGTCTGTCCGTGGCCCAAGACGGGCATGATCAGGGCGAGTGTGCGTGGACAGCTGGCCCTTCCCGGGCTGAAGCGTGGCCCGCAGAAGGCCAGCCGGGGCAGTGGGCATCTCGTGCCGGAGCCTTCGTCGAGCTGAAGCGGGCCTCCCCGGCCTCGGGGTCCTCCGCGTGAGGGGTGTGCCGAGGCGAGCCTCCTCTGGCCTGGAGGTCGACCCCCCGCCTGCGCCTTCTTGCTTCTCGTCTCCTCTCTGCCTGTCCGTCGCCGCGCAGCGCAGACAGCTGGGAGCCGACGGCGCAGTGTCGTCGTGGTCTTGGGGCCTGCCCTTCGTCGCGCTGAGGCTGCTGAGAGAAACACCAGTGCCGCCTTCATGTTTGGAGCTCTCGTCGATTCCTTGCTTTTGGAAGAAATCCTGGCATCTGGGCACAATGGCATGCAAACGCCTTTCCTCTTGCACGTCGGCTTCTGTGGCGTTCTGGGTTTGCTTGCCGACCCTCTGATTCGCACCGCGGTCATACGTAGCCGACGCGTAGAATTATGGTGGTCGCGTTCCTTCTCCTCCTCCTTCTCCTCCTCCTTCTCCTCCTCCTCCTCCTCTTCTTTCGTTTCCCGAGCAAAAACAAAAATGCATGCAAATGTCGTGGCCTTAAGTAGCCTCGCAACACCGTCTCACGGCCGAGCGCCACGCTGCGGCGAACACGTGACGCTGCCTGGCCAGAGGCGCGGCAGGGCATCCTCGCGAACCTCCTCGCACAGCCGAGGCTTGGGCAGCATGAGGCAGTGGCCACTTAGACTGCCACTGAGTTTTTCCCTCCTCGGTGCGATTCATGCTTCAGGCACGTGCTGGTTGATCGCGCGAGAGGGATAGCCCTCATGAGGGGCAGCGGATTTCTAGTTCTAGGTTTGGGCAGCAGGAGCAAACGCTGATTCGGTCCACGTTTTTCGGGGGCGCCCCCGCTTTCGCTTGAAGTTCTGCGCGGGTACCTTGCGTAATAGTTAGCTGAATGTAGTGCATCTGACTGGGTCATCGCCTTGCCTCTTGGTAAGATACCCCTAGAGAGGAACAACGGACGATGCAGCAACATATTACTCAGCGGTGTCGCGTCTGCTTGCTGCAACACATGGCTACTGTACAAGTTTACACGGGGCATTTGCCTCAAGCACCTCACGTGGGACGCGCCGGGTTTCTTTGTCCCCGCCTTGTTCAGGAGTGCCGTTTGCAGACAGCATGGCCAATCGCTTAGAATGCAAGCGCTGAAGATGTCAAGCTTCCTTGAGTGCGTCGGCGTGGAATGGCCTCGCACTCGCTTCAAATTGTAGAGTGGCCGTTCCGGGCCAGTGTCTCCCTCGCTTGACAGCAGGTTGCCAAGATGTTGAGTGCTCTCAGTCTTGCGGCACCCAGGGGACCGCCCGGTCTCGGAAGATGCGCACGTCATCCCACGGCTGCAGCCCACAGACGTGCTGCGACCTGCTTCTTTTCTTTCTCCGAGGTTGCGCACGTGGTGCCGTCGCTGGCCAGACGCGCTGGAAGGCCCCAACACAGCCACAAAGCCTGGATCCTGCAGTCATCACGTCGGCAACACCCCAACATACTTATACTATATGTGCGTCGCCCCCCCCAGGGGCGACGCGCGCACCGAGAAATCTTATAGTATATGCGTCGTGGCGGGCGCTTTCTGGCCACACCGCTCGGGAAACGATATACTACAAGATGGGCATACTAGATGTTCGGGTCGGACGCGCGCCTCCAAGGAGGACATATAGTATTAGTATGTCCATGTGCGTCCCATCACGCTGAAGTGAGGACCACTTTGGTCTCAGGAGGGACTGGTTTTCGGGCCGTGCCGCAGGTCCAGGTCGGAGAACCCCTTCCTGGCCGAGGCGGGCCGTGGCCAGACAGGCCCCCATGATCGTTCCCTACTCGGCGTCCCCTCTGGTGACACGACGGCCGTACTCCGCGGGCGACGCGTGTGCACCGAACCGCGCCGGCGTCTTTCGCGGCATCGTCGATCCTCGACCTGAGACTGGCACGGTACATGGCGCTTCGGCCCCCGGAGTGGGAAGACTCCACCGTACCGAGCTGGAGCGGGGCCCGAGTGGAGTGCAAACGTGTGCATGGGCGCCGTTCTCGGATGCAGCTTTTCCTCGATCCCCCGATCCGCCGTGATCCTCGCTCCTCCTCGAACCTCGCTCCTCGCTCCTCGCTCCTTTCTGCGATTGGCGAACCCAGGCCACTGAGCTGGAGCGTTTCTCCTCCTCCTCCTCGTCCTTCCTCCTCCTCCACTCAAGCCACGGTGGCCCGAGCCAGTTTGGCCAGTTGCCACCACCCTTGGCGCCTTCACGTGGTGCCTGGGGGGTAAGCGACCACTGGCGCCATAGGCGGGCCGCTCACCGGGTTGGGCGCGCCACCGCTTCGCTTAGCCCAAGCCGAGGTTTGCAGCCAGCCCACCCATCCTTGGACGTGGTCTCGATGCGGCTGGCACCGAGGAGTATAATCACCTGCTCGAGTAACGTGGACGCAAGTGCGAGAACTGCGTAAGACTTATGGCTTTGCGCAGGCCGAAGGTCAAAGGTTCGGGCACCAGCGGCGGTGAGGCCAACAGCCTCCAGCTCGCCCTGCCACCGGCCACAGAGTCCCCGCATCAACTCTTGTCGAAGGCCATCCTGGTCGTGGAGGATCCTATCTTGAATGCGACCCTGTCGGCCGCCCTGCAGCAGGAGCAGTTTAAGAAAGACCAAGGTGGAGCCTACACTGACAGTGGGTTAATCAGTTCGACGTACTCAAGGTGCCTGGAAGGACGCGCAGATCAAGTACGACCAGGCAGCGCAGGACGTCACCAGGGTTCGCGACCCACTTTCACGAGCTCTTGAGAACGAGGAAGAGGCGGCTCGAGTATCAGCAGCAGCCGAGATCTCGTGGAGGATCGTAGTCAAGGCGCTCAGACAGGCGTTATGGCAGGCCAAGGTCCTGCTGCAGATGCCGCGTCTCACAGAGAGGAGCCCGTGGTCGCGGACCCCCAGTGGGACGAGGAGTTCTTCAAGCAGGTAGGGTCAGGAGAGTTCGAGTATGAAGCAGCCGAGCGTGAAGAGCTGCGCACACTCGAGAAGGAGCTCCAGGGGTGAGGGAGCAGATCGCGTCTCGCGGCGACCAGGTGCGGAGGCGGCGCGAGAGGGTCACAGCCATGAAGGATGCCATGGCCGAAAGGCTCAAGAAGAACCAGAATGCCAATCCGGGCGAGGCCGCCAGTGTGGACGCCCAGGCCACTGGCCCAACGTCTGTCGGCTCCGCCAGCGCGGCCGCAGGCGCAGCGGGGGCGGCGCCGACTGCCGCGCCTGGTCGAGCGCATCCGCGAGTCCAGGGCGGCTGCAGCTCAGGCAGCCACCAAGGCGGCCGCAGCGGCCAGGGGCCCCCTGGCGCTGCTGCTCCGCCGTCGGCGCGAGGGCAGGCAGATCCCCTGGGCGCCCAGGGGGCGCCAGGCGCCGCGGTCGGGTCTCGACCCTCCGCCGAGCACACGCGGGGAAGCGAGGAGGCGAGCGATCCTACATCGACGGGGGAAGGCACGGTCACTCACATTTTCTTTTCCAGTATCACCATCATGGGCAAGAAAGCCTGGAATTACACTCAGGAGCTCCATGCCCATAACATGTCTCAATATTTCGGCTTCTGTGAGCCCCACATATTCATGGCGGGTGCCCACGACTGGGAGGCCAAGTTCAGAGGTGTCCGCTTCGAATCTTCGCGCAATCCTACACGGCCTGCGGAGCGCCCATGCTCGGCGGCTTCAGGTATTGTGAGGGCCAGCGAAGGAGGTGATGTGTTTTTGTCTCAGGGACATCGACAGGTCCGCTATCTCACCCAGCATCGAGGAGATTCGGATGTTTGTTTATGTTCTCCTTTGTTTTATCAGATGGGCTTGACATGCGGCATCGCTTTTGCCCGTCGTAGTGCGTCAGCAGGGCTATAACCCAGTTCTCATAGTCTGCTATGGCCACCATTCGCAAGGCTGTTCGGGCGACAGTATCTCACGCTTTGCTAGATTAAGAATTTATTACAAGTGCTTCAGCTTCCCTAGATCGCGATAGGGGACTTTTATACATCCCTGCCCCCACCCTCGTCTCTGCGGGCTTCGTCGAGAAAGTGGGGGCCGCGCTTTTGTGGGCCCCGGCGGGGGCCGCGTGCATCAGCGCCCAGAGAGCTTCACATATAGGTTTTGTTTTCGCTTCGCTGGCCTCCGCTCCGTGCTTGGCTTGCGCGGGGCCCAGGGCGTTCCTTGGGGGCCCCGTTGCGGGCTGGCCCTTCCGCTCGGAGGGCAGGGGCCCCACTGTTCACCGGGTCTTGGCCGGGGGCTTTCCTTTGGTGGACCATCCCGGGCCTGTTCCCCAGGCCGGCGGCAAGTTGTCTAAGGCAAAGTTGAATGTTCGGGGGTCCCTGGGATGAGGAGGTCGCGCCTGAAGAAGGACCGCCTGCCACCCAGATCGAGCAGGGCCGCCCAGCCACCGCCCCCGGCGCCCCGCCTCGCCCAGAGGGCACAGTTGACGACCCGAGGGTGAGTTTGATCCATCGGCCGAGAAGCTCAATTTTCGCGTCGGGTCAGGCGCCGCGCTCGTTGCCGGGGAAACTGGTTTGCCCCGTGTCTCTTCGAGGACTCCTGCCGTGAATTCGTCTGGTGTTGATGGCCCTTGTTCCAGAATCAGAGAACGATGCAGGGCCCCCCCAGCGTGACCCAGACTGCATCGACAAGCGTTCCCCGCGGCGATGGGCGCGGCCCCGGCGATGCCACGCTGACTGATTGGTCGAGAGATCAGGCGGTCGCCCCCTCTTTCTCCATTCCTGCTGATGCGTGGCTTTTGGCTTGAGCAAGTTCTGGCGCCCAGCGACACTGCGAGCGGGGCGCGCCAGGGCCCGCGCGGGCGTCGGCGGCCCATCGCGCGGGGGGGGCCTATGCCGTTGACCAGTTGGCGGGGTCTTCGCCAGCTGAATCGACGCAGTTGAGAAGCGAATTCGGGCCCCCCTTCGGACGGGAACAGGGCGTTTCAGAGCCGTCTCGAGTCCGGGGTCCGCGTTTAGAAGCGCATCGCGCCCAGCAGAGCCCGCGCGTTCGCGCCGCGCGCCTCCCTGCGACGCGGCGGCCCATTGGCGCGCTCAGGCGCGCGCGTTAGTCAAGCAAGCGCCACGTCGCAAATGGAGGAGTAGCAGTGCCAATCAGATCGCGGCTTCGCCGGCGGCCATGGTCAAGTTGGTCGGCCAGCCCCTGATAGCAGCCGTTCGTTGCGAGATTTCACGCAAGGAGTGATGGACAATGAGACGGCAGGCATGTTTGTTCGGTCTACCAAGGGCGGCCCATACGCGTCCATCGATCTAGGCGACCCTGACGCGGGGGTGGCATTTCATGCCATCGACTGGATAGATCGGAAGGCGAAACATCGGCGCGCTCTGTGGAAGGGCCAGAAGTTTATTTCTCGGGAGCAGGCCCAACGTTTGCTGGACCAGATTCGCGAACGCGCAGCTGAGGAGCGCGCGCGAGCTGTGCAGGGCCTGGATCGCATCTCACCTGCAGATCGATTATTCGACGCTGCGACCGTTGAGTTTGCGAATGCTCTTAACCTGGCAGAGCAGCGCGACGCGTGGCCCCAGCAGCTACTGGGAGCACTCGGTCACCATCTCCGTTAGAAAGAGTTCAGGCGACCGAACGTCGGGCAGGCATCTGTCTTTGTCGCGCATGGTTGCTCGCCCGCAAGCCGTGAGCCAAGGGGTGTTGCATTTCTCCCCGGCCTGTTTGGGGCGCGGCTGCGGCTGGTTATTCTGCCTCGAAGGAGGCCCGCATGCGCGCCGTGGACGAACAATTAGATTACACCTTGAAGGTCTCCGAAGGTCACGCCCTTATGGTCTCAGTGGCGAGATCGACTGGCCCATCCTTTTGCAGCGAGCTTTGGAGCACAGGCTTGCGCCGACGACCACATGCCTGGAGCTACAGATGCGCGCAGGGCCTCGTCTTCTGGCCCGAGCCGATGTCGTTTCGATTCCGTGCCAAGCAACGCGGTCGATCATCCGGGGCCTGAGGGGCGGGGCCAGGCTCACCAGGCATGGCCAACGCAGCGGTGGCTCGCCTCACCACCTGCCGCCCGCTCCTCTCGGAGCGGCTCTGGGTGGACGACTTCTCGCAGATGGCCATCGGCTCCAGGAAGCACGCGGCGGCCATTCTGGGAGAGGGCATCATCGCCACGCAGGAGCACTTGGATCCGCATTCCTTACGGCTGGACCCCGAGAGCGTCGCCACCTGCTCGAATGCGGCAGAAGCGAAGGCATTGGTCAGGCGCCTTCGCTGGCGAGGCAATGTCCTGCAGTGCAGTCGTCGGACGGCGTGCCTAGGAGTGGATCTTGTCATCGGCGAGCGGCTGACGCGGTGCGCGAAATCGGCGCGCAGAAGTTGTGCGGCACTCACCGTATAAAGGTTAAGCGCTACGCGATGGCTTCTCGTCGTTTCAGAATCCTGAGGAAAATTGAGCAGGGAGGCCCCCACTCAGCAGCCCAGCGCGGCCACCGAGTCCATGGGCGACCTAGGACTGCCACCCAGGAGCTTCGACGCCGACTGGGCACTGTAGCAGGTGGTCATCGGCATGGAAGGGGGATCTCCGCGCTCTCGGGCATCCGCGCTCGCTCCTCGTCGCGACGTTGGCTCGCGCCTCCTTCGTCAGTTCTTGGGCGGCGTCTTCGGGCCCGCATTGGCGAGCTGTGAATTTGAGCGCCTAATGGCCAGATGCGACATGATATCGTGGACCAAGTCAAGCAAGCCGAGCCACGTCATCGTGCACGCCGCGTCCGAGGCCCAGTCTCAGGCCGAATGCGATACCTCTCACAGGCAGGACGCGACCCAGCGGGGCCAACTGAATGGCATCTCTCCCGGCAACATCAAGACCCCCACGGTGAGAATCCAGGCTGGAAGTTCGACGCCAGCTAGCTGGATCCAGTCGAGGAGGCGTAGGACGGGCTCGACGATATTACCCGGACCTTCAAGCGCCAACTTTGGTCGGAAGCCAATCAGGGGTGTTTTTTTTTCGGGGGCGGGGTGGGGCTTGGGCTGCATAGCGACAGTCTCAGAATGCAGCTGATGCAACTGGAACGTCTCCCCAACGGCAGGCGGCTTGCGGAGTCTGGGCTGAATCGCGCAAACAGGGCTTGGCCGCAGGGTTTTACGCGCGATGCTCCCGGCAGGTTGAGGAAACACCCTTTTCACAGATACTGGCAGTGTGCCGGCAATCGGGATTTCCCGATTTTAGAAATGACGGACAGCATGTGTCATCGCGCGGTGACCCATGCGAAGATGGCAGGATGTTTGTGGCTCTGCGGTTTAATGCCAGCAGCCTGGACAGAAGTAGACGAGCGGACTTTAGTTGAGAAGTGGAAAACGTCCAGCAGCAGCTTGTACTAGCACTTTATCCTTCGGCACGGGCACGGCGGACAAACCATTGGCCATTCATGCCCATACATCTGGGGTCGTTGATACACGCGATCCACGACTTCGTCGAGTTGGATTGGCTGCGGCGGCTCCTTCATATGATGTGCGTTGCTGATTGCACGTACGTTTTTGCATCTCTCCCAGGCGACTGCCAGACGGTTGCGCGCGGAGGGTTGCATATGCTGGAGGTCAGCATCAGATGGTCCTCAGGGCCCATTACAAATTTCACGGGCAATCAAGAGGTATATCGAGGATGGTGGGCCTGAGTTTTTGAGGTCCCAGCGGGCCCCAACGCAGACATTCGGAGAACGATTCGGGGCCATCTCACTCACTGGTCCTGTGGCGAGACTGTGGCCATGGAAGTCCCTTCATGTCCCTTCGCATCTGGAGGGCCATGAGGTCGTGGATCGTCAGATTCCATCGTGTCTCGTTGCTGGAAATGTGTGCGTGGACGAACTGGCCTCCATAGCTGCCGACGAGGCCCGGGCCCCCGAGCCCCAGCATGTGCGAGTCCATACGATCGAGGACGACGCAAGATGGATCCGCATTCGCCTTCTTCGGATAACGTTGGAGATCGCGGTTGGAGCTCAGAAGAGGAAAAATCTGATGCTCGCGCCCTACCGCCCTCCACTGCGGTGACCAAGGGTGTGTTTTTCCTACTCTATCTCCTGTTGCGGGAAGAGGGGCACGGTGTGTAAAAGCCCGGCCATTTTGCCGAACGTCGAAGCTTGGCTTAAGACTCCTTGTTTTAGTCTTGAGTTTGCCACTGCACAGGTTCCATGCTTGCCAGCTGGTCGGGATGTATATTTTGCTGGAGGTGTGATCCACATCTGCCATTCGGTGAAATATCATGAGCATTTGGGGCTTTGGTTATGTGGGAGTCGCGGGCAACTCGGGCAAACCCAGCTAAGGAAGTTGGCAGGCCCATGTGTACCCATCACCACTACTGGCAGGGAGTGCATTCGGCGTCTAGAAATTGAGATAGAGAGAGATGTCATTGGGCGGCCAGGGCGTAAGTATTTTAACAGACTCGCTTCGTGACCCTATCCTCTATCCTCCTCTCCTCTCCTCTTCTCTCCTCCCCTCCCCTATCCTATATTATTATATCCTATATTACCCTATCCTATACGATTATATCCTATCCTATCCTATCCTATCCTATCCTATCCCCGATCCTATCCTATCCCATCCTGTCCTGTCCTGTCCTGTCCTATCCTATCCTCCTCTTCCTCCCCCCCCCGCCAGGTCGGGTCGGCGACTCTGCGGGTGCTGCGCTGCGTGCCGCCTGCCGCGCGCGAGAGGCTGGCGGCCAGCACGAGCGAGGTGCTCATAAGGGCGGTGCGCGCAGGCGTGTGCCTCGAGGATCGCGGTGCTTTTGCCACGTGTCAGCTTCGCCAGACCCATCCTCGAAGAGGAGGAGGAGGAGCAGGAGCAGGAGGAGGAGGAGGAGGAGGAGGAGGAGGAGGAGGAGGGGAGGAGGGATTGGAGGAGCGGGGGGAGGAGGAGCGGGAGGAGCCGGAGCGAGGACGAGGAGGAGGAGGAGGATCGGGGGCAGGGAGGAGGAGAGGAGGAGGAGGAGGAGGAGGAGGAGGAGGGAGGGAGGAGGAGGAGGAGGAGGAGGGTGAGGAGGAGCGGGGGGAGGAGCGAGGGGGGCCAGTCGAGGCAGCGGCTGCCCTCCCTGGCCCTCCTCCTCGTGCTTGGGCCTCCCAGAGGCCTCTCGCCGCCGCGGCTGGATCTGCCTCGAACGGCGAGTCAGGATGGAACCCAGGAGGGGTCCAGGGACCGATTTTGACTGGAATTGGGCCGGGCGGGAGAGCCGCCGAAGTCTCCGCTGGCCCTCTCCCGACATCGGCCATCGTCGGACCAATCCCAATCCCAAGTGGGCGAGGGTCCCGTCTCACGACCGGCCTGCCCCCCCAGAGATGGGGATGGACGTCGCGAGGCCCGGCCTGAGAGGGTATCTATCTCCACCTGGGGTTGCAGGCCGGGCAGTGGGGCCAAGGCTTTCGCAGTGGGGAGGTGGGGGGTTCGTAGACGGGGGGTCGTCCCAGTGTAGGGTCAGGGAACGAACAGAGCCAGATGCTCACATCTCCTTCCAGGAGCCGTTTGGAGCGTTTCTTTTCTCTGGCCCCACCTCTGCCCCGTTCCCACCTTTACGTCCTGCCGAGGATGGGGATACAGCTGGCACAAGGGTTAAGGACACTCGCAGCTTTCGACGGGCACCTTTCTGTTCCTCGCCGTTGGGCTCTGCACCTTGGAATGCTCTCCGTTTGGGATATCTCCGTGGGGCCTTGGGCTCTCGTCGAAGGGGCCCACGTTCTTGATCCACGTTCCTGTGACCTTGTTTCGACTGCAGGCCCAACGATGCTGCGGGACGGTGTTTGGGACAAGGCCAGCCCGCTTCGCGCGCGCGGCCCCCCTCTCGAGCGTCCCCAGGGGAGACTGATGCAGGGAGCGGGCGACACGCGTCGCTTCCCTCCGTGCAGGCCAAAACACCCGATGTCCTTATTGTCGCTCAGCACGGTCGGACCGACGTATAGTCGGCGGCGAGCGAGGGGGGGGGGGAAGTGAGAAAGGGAAAGCCTTCTCGGAAGGCGGCTGGACTTCTCAGAAGCCCTCGCGCCTTCTGAGAGGTTGTTGGTGTCTCCCAGGAAGGCCCAGAAAACTTTGCAGAAGGCCCAGGGACTTCCGAGCCTTCTCGCTTCCCCCCGATGCATGCCGCCGACATCAGATGGAGGTCGGCTCGGGGAGGGCACCCTTATTTTTTTCGTGCTTGGCGTGTGTTCTCCTGCATCCTCCCCAGAAAATGTGGGAAAAGATGGGAAGTGGGCTGGAAGACAAACACATAAAAAATGCAGGAAAATATGGGGAAAGGGCACCCTCGGTGATCTCTGATGGCTTGGGGTGCCCTGGCCAGCGGAGCGTCTCGTGCCCTTGGAGGATGTTGTTCTCCCCTCGGGCCGGCTGCACGCGGTTCCTCGAAGTCCCGTCCCATTCCCCAGCTTCTCGTCTCGAGCCATTTCTTGACGGCCCCGCCCGGGGCCCAGCGAGGGCCCCCTGAGGGTGAAAAGGGCCAGGGAATGTCGTGTTGATTTTGTCAAGACGTCGGATGCCTGCGATCTGGCCTGAAAACTCGATCCCCAGACCTCTCCTGGGGGGTGGCGTTCTGGCTAGAATTCCAAGGTGAGTCCAGCCGTGGTGACGAGGAGGCACAGAAAGGGGCAGACACCCTCCAGCACCTCGACCCTGGAATACCGAGCCTCGAAAATCAAGACGTCGGGTCTCAGGGAGCATCAAAACCGCATGCGCTGACCCAGGGAAGCGTCCTGGCAGGTCCCTTCGGGCGCCTCGGGTAAGTGTCCTGTCAGGTGCCTTCGGGCGCTCTTCTTGAGCCGTGACCTCGGTGCCGCTCCCGATGAAAGAAGAAGAAGAAGAAGAAGAAGACTCGGCCTTCCGCTGCATTGTCTCATGCCTGATGCTGCTGGCATAAGCCTACGGCGTGCACCGCCGACAGGTCGCGAAACCAAGAGAAAACGATAGGAGGTCAGGGCGGAGCGCACCTTGCAGCCCCCGCTCCCGAGAGGAGGTGGAGGAGCTCTGCCGCGGCGCCCGCGAGCTTGGCCCTGGCGCGCTGGAGCACCCAGGGGCGGCTGAGGCCCCCGCGACTGCTCGCGAGGATCGAGGTCTACCGTTTCGTCCTGCGAGCGTTCGGCACGATCGGCAAGCGACAGTCTTCCGGGTGGGGGGTCGGCGTTTGGGGGGCCACGCGAAGGATGACAGTTTCGAGCTTCTCGTGTGTGGGCACGGAGAGGATGACAGTTTCGGGGGCTGTTGCCGGTTCTCGGCAGGACTCCCAGCCTCGGGGCGTTCTGCGGCGGCTGCGCTCCGTCCATGGCGTTCCCGGGTGTCCAGATCGCCCCCAGCAGCCGCTGGAGGGCCGCTTATGGCCTGAAAGCCAGAGGCAACAATAGGGGTAGGTTCACGGGGGGAATGCATCGACCCCTAATCGCCCATTCATCGCCAGTTTCTTTTTTGTTCGCTTTGCGTGTCCAACCCGCCAGCTCATACTTGATGGTCGTTGTCACACGCCCATTTCCTCGTGGCGATCTGGAAGTTGTTGGGTCGTGGGCATTTCCCCAAGTTTGTCCAGCGAAGTTTGCGCTGGTGGAAGCGGTCGCTGCGTAGATGGAGGGCATCGTCTAGGCCGTCATTCCTTCCGCCACCGTGCCTGGGTTGTGGGTCAGAGGCCTCTTGGATGCATGTGAGGGTCCCTCGCGAACATTGGAGCTTCTTGGAGCTTGTAAGTCACAGCTTGCCAGAGCAACACGGCCGCGCAACGACGCGCAACACCGCGCAGTACCTCGCAGCACCCCGCAGCACCGCGCAGCATCGCACAGTACAGCGCAGCGCCGCACAAGACCACGGAGCGGCGCCGAGCGGTGTAGGCTTCCAAATCGTTTCCCGGACGTTCCTCGCCGTTTCGGCGCCCTCTTCCATGCGGGCGGCGCAGAAACGTCGAGATTCGGCTGGCTTCCACAGCCTTCGGCCCCTGGAGGCCGCCTCCCAAGCATTATAGGCAGCCGAACACCGACTCGGGATGAGAGCCTGGCCCGGAGGAAATGGGATCGGAGAGCCCCGAGGTCCGACGTCACGAAAAAAGGTTCAAGCGTCGGAGGAGATAGGCTTGCTCGAGGATCGAGGTGTCTTTTCTTCGCCGTGTCGGCGCCACCTGGCCAAGGCCGCCGAGGGAGAAGCGATTGCTCGAGGATTGAGGGTTCTCGCTGTTTCGGCATCTGGCGGCCAGGGCCTCCGAGGAGGGAGCGGTTGTTCGAGGGCAGATGTCTGTTCCTCACCGATTCGGCGCTTGCGGCCGCTGTGGTGTTTGTGGATGTTGCTCTCGCTTGAGCCTTCCCTGCCATCACCTCCTGCTTGGCCCTCTTGCTAATCCCTCTCGTCCTCCATCTCCCTCCCTCCCTCTTGCCTCCGTCCCCATCCCTCTCTTCCCCCACTCTCTTCCTCATCGCTCTCCCTGGTCCATTATTATTGTTCTTCCTGTTTTAAGGGGCTGCGCCAGTTACACGTGGCAGGGAATGGAGACATACACCCCAAAGGAGGCATGATCAAAGACGAAGGAGGCGATTCTCGAAGGCTTGTGAGATACATGTTGGATAACCAAGGCTTGTGAGAAGGTTTCTCGAAGGCTTGGGAGACCAGGACTTTGCAAGCCAGGACTGGACCAGGCCTTCGCCAGAGCTGGAGAGGACGAAGAACGGAGAATGTTTGTGTCTGCGGTTGCAGTTTGCTCGGACGCGCCGATGTCCTAGTTTAGCAAAGCTCCTGGCTAAGAGACCGTGAGTGTGGACCCCAGGAGGGGCCCAGGCACTCCGATGCCTTGGGCGTGGGCAGGCACACCGACACCCTGGGTCACCCCCCAGGGGCGCGAAGTGAATTGCGCTTCGCGCGTCGTGGTCTCAGCCAGACGGGCTGCCTTTCTCCCGAGGGGGGGGGGGGGGGGGGCGGCGCGAGGGCGCGAGGGCGCGAGGGCGCAAAGCTAATTGCGCGTCGCGCCCTCGCGGGGCGCAATGCGCGAAGTTGGGCGACCTGGGGTACGGCTAGCCAGCCTTCGTTCTCTTCTTTTGGGGCCTCCCGTGGGGGCCCTCGTCGCCCCGGGGATCCCGGTTGGGACGTGGTGCTTGTCTGCCCCCCCGGAGGCCCTAGATGTCGCCGCCAACATGGGCAACATGGCTGTGGTCGGGGTGCTGCTGCGGGCCGGGGTGCGGGCCAGCATGGACAGCGTGCGCAGGTCTATTAGACATAAGAGTGACCTTTTGCTGGAGTGACCTCTGGTGCGGGCCCACTGGGGTCCCCGATCGCTGAACGCGAAGCGGTAGCAGCGGCTTGCGCGCCCAGGTTCGGGCACGCCTCGTCCTCCGTTACGCCGCGCACCAAAGGTCACTCTCGCCTAGGGGCACTCTTACGTGTAGTAGCCGAGCAGGGCAGAGAAGGCAGGCCAGCTGGACCTCGCGATGCGCATCTTCACGCACCTGGCCGGGGACACCAGCCGGCCCATGCTGGCCAGGGCGCTGGCCGAGAGGCTGCCCGACGTGGCAGAGAGGCTGGTGAAGGACGACCCCGACGCGCTGGACGACCTGCCCGCGGACGGTGGCTCGGCGGCCAAGATGGCGCACTCGGCCATGGCGTGGACGGTGCTGGCCATGCTCATCGGCCGCGGCGACCCGCTGCCCGCCCCGCCGAGGCAGCTGCTAGACTATGCGCTGCGCGCTGGCCACGCCGGCCTGGCGCGGGTGCTGCTGTCGCACAACGAGGGCTTCGAGGACATGGAGAAGAGCCTGCGCACCTGCCTGGAGAACGGGCGCGTGGAGATCGTGCGCGAGGCCCTGGAGGCGCAGTGGCGCGTGCGCGCCAGCCTCTGGAGCGACTCGACTGGCCCGCCGCTGCTGTCGCTGGAGTGCGGCCCCGCCGACGAGCCCGCCGAGTGCGGGGTGTGCTTCGACTCGCTGCACGTCAACCCTGGGGTGTTCGTCGGCGCGCAGGGCTTCCGAGTCTGCCCGCACTTCATCTGCCTCGACTGCGCGGAGCACGTGCAGGACGAGGCCGTCGCCCGGCACCAGCGCTGGCGGCAGCGCAACGACCGGCGCTTCCCGGAGCCCCCTGGGCCCGTCTGCCCGCTGTGCCGCGCGCCCTTCAAGAGCGCGGTGCGGCTCAAGGAGCCCACCGTCGACCCGCGGAGCTTCTTCCGGCTGGCCTGCGTGCCCGACGACCGTGAGCACGGCGGCGGCGGGGAGGACGTGGCGGAGCGTCGCGCGGAGGACCTGCGACTGAAGAGGACCCGCCGAGGGCGCCCGTACACCGCCGCAGTGCCTGGCCAGGGCCACCCTGAGCCCTGGCACGGTGTGCACGCCCCCATCGTAGGTCACCATCATAGGTCACCCGCAGGGGCGCGAAGATAAACGCGCTTCGCTCATCGCGGCCTGGGCCCGCGGAGCGTCCTTCTCCAAGGCGGTGGGCGCGAGTGCGCGAAGGTGGCCGCACGTCGCGCATCATCGCGGGGCACGACCCGCGAAGTTGTGCGACTTAGCAGGGCCCAGGATGACCCTGGCCAAACACGGTCGTGGTGTACAGGTGCTCTTCTGCGCGGAGGAATATCGCGCTCGGCGCCCTTACGGCGCTGCTGCCGGTGATCAAGGGAGGGGAACAAACCAGACCCCAAAGAACGGCGTTTACTGGAAGTCCTGGGCCCCGGGCGTTCACTAAAATTGCCCTGCCCTGTTCGATTTGTTGCTCCATGTGCGTTCAGTCAAGGACTTCGCTTGTAGGACTGGCTATTCTGAGGGTATTTTCTCTGCCCTCTACAGTCAGCGCGCGTGGCATGGGTGAGTAAGTTTCCCAAGGGTACCCTTGCATCCTCGTCTTCTCGGCCCTTCCTGTGCCAATTTCGCTGGCTCTGGACGCCTTACACTTGGGCGCTCATCGAAGAACAACAGTTTGCATCAGCATAAGCTTTCTGAGGTCCAAGAACGTTTCTTATGTCGGCGCTGAACACCCTCCCTGGCGCGCGAAGCGCGCCAGAGGAGGCGCTGAAGGCGCCTCCAGGGGGGTCCAGCGCCGATCCAAGAAACCCGTGCGGACCTCCGACAGTGTCTGTTTATGTTTTTGGTTCCTCTCCAGCCCAGACGCTAAGTTGAGGACCACTTAGGGCTCATGAGGGGCTCTGATTTTCGGACCGCTCCTTCGAGTAAGATCGGGGGAAGCCTATTCGTAGCCGAGGCTCGCCGTAGCCAGAACCCCATGCGTTCCCTATGTGGCGTTCCCTGAGGTAGCACGATGGCTGTGGTCCCCAGGGGGGCCCCGCACCCTTGCCGCCCATGACCTTATGATGTGCGCCGGCAGCAAAGGTGAACCCAAACACCTTCGCCGCCAAGCTCGAGGGCGAGCTGTGGCCCGCGTGGCTGCAGGAGGCGCGGGCCCACGGCGAGGTGCTCCGGCCGACGCCTTTGCCGTCGCCGTCGTCGTCTTCTGTCGCTCGTCGCCGCTTGCCGTCGCCGTCGCCGTCGCCGTCGCCGTCGCCGTCGCCGTCGCCGTCGTCGTCGTCGTCGTCGTCGTCGTCGTCGTCGTCGCCGTCGTCGTCGTCCATCGTCGTCGACTTCGCCGTTGCCGTCGTCGTCGTTGAGGATCAGGGACCTGGCGTGGGAAGTTTTTCACCAGTTTGGGCCTTCCCGGGCCCGCTTAAGGCCCCGCCCGAGATTGTCAAGAGCGGATCCGGGGTTCAAAAACCGGCCATGGTGGATTGCGGGAGGGCTTTGGGTGGACGGACTTCGGGGGAGGAGGAGGGGGATGAAGCGAGAGGAGCATGAGGAGGAGGAGGAGGAGGAGGAGGAGGAGGAGGAGTCTGAATTTTGATTGAGGAACAGACGACGGTCCACATTTTGCCATGGCCGATGCCAGAGGACGTGGTGGCCCGAACGGTGACCATGAAATTGGCGCAATCGGTAAGATAGGGGCCTGGTTGCCAGTGACTCGCTGGCTCGTCGGCGGCCCCCTGCAGCCACGGTCCAAGCGTCCCCTTGGGGGCCGCGCTGGCGGGGCCCACCTGCCGCTGCCTAGTGTTCGGAGAGCAGCAGGGCCAATGTGGGGAAGTAGCCGCCAGGCACGTGCAAATGGGGTCTGCGCTGGCACTGGGTGAGTTCTGCTCGCACTCGAGGCACCTCGCCCAGGAGTAGGCATACGGCCCCGCGGGACTCACTCGCCACATTGCACCGCCACTCCGTGAGACTGCACGCTCCTTTGCGCAGCTGGTGCCGCTGCAGTGAGCCACAGTTCAGACCACTCTGCTCAGCCGATGCAGGGGAGTTGAACCCCTGGCAGGCGTGGGCCAAAGCTCAGACCCCGTGGGACTTACGTGCCACATGGCACCGCTTCGCATGGACGGCACAGAGAACTGGCCGGCTCACCCATCCCGCATGCTTCATGATCTTGTGTCGTTGTGCCCCCCTTCAAGCACTGCTCCAACACAATACAATGGAACCAGGCGCGTGGGGAGGAGGAGGAAGAGGAGGACGAGGAGGAGAAGGAGGAGGAGGAGGAGGAGGAGGAGGAGGAGGAGGAAGAGGAGGAGGACGGGAGGAGGAGGATGAGGAGGAGGAGGAGAAGGAGGAGGAGGAGGCGGAGGCGGAGGCGGAGGCGGAGGAGGAGGACGAGGAGGAGGAGGAGGAGGAGGAGGAGGAGGAGGCGGAGGAGGCGCGACGCCCATGAAATTCTGGCGAGGGACAGGCCCTCTTGCGCACTCTTCGCGGCGGCACCCAGGCACGGCGTCTGCCATGTGGCCAGGTTCGCCCGCGAACAGCCCCCACAAGGTCCGCACCGACGACCGCTTCAAGACGAGGTTCGGTTACGAGACCGACATCGGGCCTTTGATGCCTAGGCTCCGTGACCATTTACCGCATGAGCTACGCAGCGAGGCGGGGGATGCCAACATCATTCGCTGGCATCGCCCCCCTCGCTGTTTCTTGCCATGCGAATTCGCCGTACAACTGCGTGGTCGTGCAGACCCCCATCACCATGACCAGAGAAAAACCGAACGTGCCGCCGGTGGCCGAGACGGCGGGGCACGGGCCCCAGAAACCACTCTGGGGAACCAGCTCTGCAGGGAGCCCCACCCAGGCGCGTCGTACCCAGAGGCGCACCTCCTCCAGGATCGGCACCGCGGGTCGCCCTCCAAGGGGCAGGGCGCCCGTCGAGCGCAGCGACACCGCCCCGCGCGACGCTGCGGGAGAGCCGGGCCTCCGACGGGAGTGTGGGCCCGACGCCCCTTGCTTGGCGAGACCACGAGCTGCCCTGCGGTGGCAGCCCGCGGCTGCATCAGCGACATCAGTCTGCAGAGGAGGCGGAGGAGGAGGAGGAGGAGGAGGAGGAGGCGGAGGAGGAGGAGGAGGAGGAGGCGGAGGTAGGAGGAGGAGGAGGAGGAGGAGGAGGAGGAGGAGGCGGAGGAGGAGGAGGAGGAGGAGGAGGCCCACTGGCGACCCTCTCTTCGGTCGCAGCACTGCTGCCGCCACTGCAGCAAGGAATGCGCCCGCGTCCGCCTTGCACGGCATCTCACGCCTGGAACGGCAAGGGGCTACACGGGGCCGCGCTCCGTGCCTCTGCCCTTCCGACGCGCCAGCGCTCTGCAGCTTCTGCTTCCCAAGGCCGCCTGCGCTGCGGGGGCGGCGCCCTTCGGGGTTCCTCTTCACGGCGGGGCTGATGGTGCCAGTCTGGCCGCCCGTCGCAGCCGTGAGACCCCAGGGGTATCCACCGATGGCAGCACACGAAGTCTCCTCGGGATGCGTTCGATTGAACGGACGATCTCGATACTCGTATCAGGTCGTGAGAAACGCAACCTTTTACCTGCATCAGGGGCCCCTGAACATCAAATGGCAATGGGTACAGACATATGTGAAGCAACTGCTTGCAACACATCATGCTTGCTGAAGCTGCTGATCCGTGCTGATACACATAAAAATAACACGATCAAACTGGGGTTATATTGACACGGGCGGAAAAAGGAGTTAGCACATATTCACTCAAAATCGCGCATTGCCAAGATCAGGGCTCCCCAGAACTTTACCAGGGCACAAAGCGTTGAAACTCGATTGGGAACAGGACCGAAACTAAAACAGCTATAACGTCGCAAACACCGCGGGTCCCCTGCACAAGCCAGTCTGACTCGAATGAGAAATGTACCGACGGTCGCGACAGCGACATGGATATTTCTTGAATGCACACCCGGCGATCGGTCGACCTCGCCGGGCAGCAACATGCAAAGTGCGTGCTCCTCGGAGCACTCAGTCACGAGTCGGCCTTTGCCGACCATCGTCCACCTGTCGGCCTCGCCGACCATTCTGCCAAACTGGCCTCCTGCCAAAACGGCCTCTGGGTACCCCCTCATCCTGTCACGAAAGCTCCATTGGCGTACTCGGGCAGCGACTGGAACCTCGGCGTGTTGAGATCCAGATTGTAGCGACACTGCGACTGGACGAGCACGCTGCGTACCTTCTTCTGCTTCATCGGTTTCGGGTCGGTCCCTGTCGCGGTCGTCTTGACCTTGACGGTTATTGGCTCTGTCTCGGGCTCCCGCATCTTCTCGATCTTCGTGTCATGCTCGATCTGCTTGGTTCAGTGTGTCCACCACACTCCATCACGAAATCTGCAGTAGAAAGCGTTAACAATTCCAATCACGAAGCCGAAAACCATCATCTTCATGACCAGGTCGTTCCAGTCGGCTGGCGTCGGTGGGTTGAACAGCTCGACACCCGTCGGCGTATACTGTATCACCTGTCCAGCCGCGCTGCCGCCTTCGCTAGCTGCCGGTGCCGCAGCCAGCTTCGCTCCACTTGCGCCAACATTGCGCTTGCTCTTGGCCTTCGCTTTCTCTCCTTCGCCTGTGTCACGGGCGTCGTCTCGAGGGCATCGTGCAGTGCCTCGCCAGCATCGTCCAGCCCCCTCTTCGCGCTGCTCCGTCGCCCTCTTGGAGAGCTTCTTGCCGGCCACGAAAAGTCGGGGTCGCACCGCAACGCATATGCACTCCACGGCGCAGCACGTCTGCCGGGCCGTTGTCTGGCGGGCCGAGAGCCTGGTGAGCCCGTCCGCCATCTGCCGCTGCGTATTCACCCACTTCCTCCTCCTCCTCCTCCTCCTCCTCCCTCCTCCTCCTCCTCCTCCTCGCACGCACGCACGCACACTAAAGGCATGAAAGATTCGTTGCCTATCCCAGAAGCCAAAAATGGGGACAAGAGAAGAAGAGGCAGGGAAGGAAGAGATCAGTCAGCGTTGGGCCGGCTCCTGTTGAACAGAGCACAGTCGGCTCCACGCTCGACTTGGTGGTAGGGGTCAAGGGGGACCACAAAGGGGGCTAAATCAGAGTCCACATCTTCCCCTTCCCCTAACCCAGACAGCTGTGACAACCTCGATTTGGTAGCCTCGATGATGGTACTCCCGAGGCACTTGCACAGGCCTGGAGGGTATTCTTTGGCCGCTGTGGTCGCCCACGATCCATCGGCATATCGGCCCTCGAGAGTGACGTGCTCGTGCCGGCCATCACACTGGCCTCCACCATATCCCTGAAGCACCCCGTACATTGCTTCCCCATGGATCGTGAGTAGGGTAGTAGGTTTGATTGAGGCAGCCCCAAACATACACTGATGAATATGGAAGAATCGAACATTCGGCTTGCCCTCGAAAATGCTGAGTTGAGGGAGAAGCCATGACGACGGGGCGTCCAGTCTGCTCTGGAGTCTGCTGGGGTGCTCCATGATGGCCGTCACATCACACTTGTAGCACACGTGGAGGAGATAAATGGTGGTCCTCAACAGGTCGTTGCCAATCCTAAGTTGGTTCATCTCTTTC